GAACAGCTGGCTGCTTTGCGGATTCTTGAACTGGAGCCCCTAGCTCGGCGGCTGACTGGTACCGGCAGCGGCTGGACTGGATTTGCTCGGGCCGCCCGGGCGTACAGAGCAGGATTGGGTGCTCGGCTTCATTTGTCTGGAGGGGTTCAGGTGAACTCCCCGCCCATTCCGGGCCTTCGCAATACTTTCTTCATTGTGCTGCGCGCTGCAAGCTCTGAGGAGGGTTTCTGGACCAGGAGCTCACGCACCTACGCCACTGCCGTGGCAGACCGGGTCCGCAGAGGCGCTCCTTCGATCCATTCTGCACGGCTCACTCGTTTGCAAGCCAGACCGAAGCTGAGGCGTATCTGTTGGGTGCGCAGCGGCCATGGCCGGTGCACCGGCAGTGAGGCGGGCCCCTATGGGGCAGGCAGATCTGGAGGCTTTGGTGGATGGCGTGGGTCCCGAGCAAACACTGCCTGTGATCTATTTGCGCCTGGAGCCTACAGAGGATGGCATGGAGAGATTCGCTACAGCCTATCCCCTGCGCCGACGAGCAAACGGGTTTCTCGTTTTGGTTCCCGACGCCGAGCTCGTCAGGGACTTCCTCGACAACCTCATGGGCGACGATGGCGAGGCGCTGGCGCTGATGCATCGAGAGCAGGTCCATGCAGAAACCGTGCGTGGACGTCAGTTGGGGCCTGCGCATATCATCCTGGTGGATCTGTCTTGGAGCTGCGCGGAACGCTTTGTCCGCTCTCATCCGCTTCGTGGTGCTCAGGATCGAAATGTTCGACTTACTGCTCTGTCGGTGGGAGGCACCGGTGGACGGCCGTCGTCTGGAGACGCCCTGGACGCCGCGGCTCGATGGGTCGAACAGCTGGATCCGGATACTGCGCAGGAGTATTTCGAGAGCGCGCAGGAGGCGGTCGAGGGCTCTGTAGACGGAGAGCCTTTCGAGGAGGAAGGCGCAGGCGAGCCGCTGCTCGAGCGGGCGCCGGCGCCTCAACCTGCTCTGCCGCGCAGAACTGCTCGCACAACTCCGGCTGCTACTCCAGGTTCCTTGTTCAGACCCGCTGGCGCTTTGGATCCGGCTCAACTTCAGCGACTTCAAGGCCTTGCAGGCTTAGCTCCTCCCAGGGCAGGTGGCGTCGAACGCGCTGCTGGCTTGGACCAAGGCAGCATGGCAGACCTGCGCATGGAGTCCTAGCTGGAAGCTTTGCCCCCGGCCGAAGTCGAAGATCCTCAGGAGTTGGCATGCCCGGACTCGTCTCTGCAGGCGATGCTGCTGGCTCAGATGCGGCAGAACGCGGTTCTGCTGGAATGCCTGGTCAACAAAAGCGGCGACGGCGTCCAAGACGCGCTCGCCGGTGGGGCCAGCGCGTCCGATGGGTCTGGGGGCATCAAGGGGCACTTGGCCCGCGACGCCTATGTCCGGAGTGCGTGGTACAATACTTGGGGCCGAAGTTGATGGTGTCTTAGGGGTTGTTGGACCACCGCGAGACCGGATGCTTAGCCTTGCAGCTTTGTCCGTCTGCCTAGCGAAACGGGGCACTGCCACTCGTGAGATCATCGAGAAGCTGTTGGGTTGCTGGGTTCACGCCCTCGTGTTCAGGCGGCCTGTCTTCTGTGTGCTGGACATGCTTTTCAGGGAAGGGCAGAGCTTCGCAATGAGGTTTTCAGAATCAGTGACCAAAGCCGAAACGAGTTGTTGATGCTTGCCTGCTTGACGTCAACGCTTCTTAGCAATTTGCGAGCTGCTTACGACCCTCGCTTGTACTGCTTAGATGCATCACCCAGTGGCGGAGCTGTGTGCGCCGCTGTTGTGGGCTCCGAAGCTGCGTCTGAACTTTGGCGCCATGGGGAGCTGAGGTTTCTGCAGTGCTCACTGAGAAAGGTATTCCACATGATTCTGACAAATTGTTTGGGGCTTCCCTTTCCGTGCCTAAAAGAACTGCTTGCTCAGCCTCAACTTGACCCCTTTGTCCCCCAACCCTTGAGTGAAGGGATTCTGTTCGATGCCGTAGAGATTTTCCGAGATTCGGGAAACTGGAGCCGTTCACTT